TGGTCACCTCCAGGGCAGGCGGGAATCGAACTCATGCGGACGTGGTTTTAGCTTTTCAATGCTGTGCTTTAACCCGCTGCGCCACCAGGAAGGGCCCCATAACATTTATTTTTAAAACAAGATCATTGTAAGACATCTTAAATTCTTTTGTAGAGCTAAAGAAATGGACAAATTATAAATCCACGGGCATTGTATTTATCTGTGGCTGAAGTCAGATTCACTCACCAAGGTGAAATTTGGTACCGTCAAAAAATATTCTCTAAGAAAATATGACAATTACAAATACATACGTACCAACAAGAGAATCCCAAAATATATGAAGCAAACAATGATAGATTTGAGAGAAGAAATACTAAAATAATAGTTGTGTACTCTGGTAATGAATAGAACAACCACAGAGAAGATCAGTTAGGTAGTGGGATCTTGAACAGCACTCTAAACTAGCTAAGCTGAACAGATAGACACACAACATCTATCCAACAACAGCAGGATGCACATTCTTCATAAGGGTATACTGAACATTCTTCAGAGTAGTCCAACTGTTGGTCCAAAAACAAGTGTCATGAATTTTAAGATTTAAATCGCACAAAGTATGTTCTCCAAGTACAATTGAATGAAATTAGACATCAAAAAATGAGAAGGCAAACAAAAGTTCACAATTCAGTGAAAATAAGACACCAGACTTTTAAGCACTACTTTGGCTTCAAATAAGAAATCAATTGGAATATTGGAAATGCTTAAAGAAATGTGAAAAATGAAAGAACAACATTCCAAATTTCCTATCATGCTGTGAATGTGGTTTTCAAAGGGAAAAATTATAGCTGTGTCATTACAATAAGGTAGATTTTTAAAAAGAGGTGATCTCAAATCAATAACCAAATATGACAACTTAAATTATTACAAAAGCAAATCAAACTGAATACAAATGCTAGCAGAAGAAAGGAAATAATAAAAATGAGGGGAAAATAGATGGAGTAAGAAAATTTTTAAAGTGGAAAAAAGATAAAACCAAAAGTTGATTTTGAAAAGAACACTGACAAATCTTTAGCTAGACAAAGAAAAAAGACTCAAACTACTAAAATCAAAAATGAAAGTGGAAACATTACTACCTACAGAAATAAAAGATTATAAGGATATAATATGAACAACTAGGCAACCTAGATGAAGTGAACAGATTTCTGGAAACACACAAATTGCAAAGGCTGACTTGATAGAAAGTCTCAACAGACTTAGAACAAGTAAATATACTGAACCAATAATTAAAAAACCTCCCAACAAAGAAAAGCTCAAAACTAGATGATTACACAGGTGAATTCTACCTAACATTTAAAGAATAATTCACACCAATTCTTTGCAAACTTGTCAATAAAATAGAAAAGAGGAGTAAGGCATTCTTACCCCATTCTATATGGTCAGGGTTACCCAGACACCAAAACCAAAGGCATCGAAAGAAAACTACAGTTAATTATCCCTCAGGGATTTTGATGCAAAAATCTTCAGCAGAATACTAGCAAACT